TTTTATGTTTTCTCTTTTTTAAATGATGGTCTTGGTCGACCAACAGCCATCCAACCCCATCCTCTTCCAAGCTTTCGCTTAGTCCAATAAAACACCCTTCACATACAGCAAAACCTGCACCTGAAATTCTAGAATTTCCTTGTATATTTGCCATACAGCGTTGCAAAATGAAAGCTAATTGCAATGCTTCGTCATACTTATAACTAATACTAGTTAATGAGCAAATTGATCTAGAGGGATGAAAAGTGGAGCACGTACGATTATGATTGTCTTCCACCTTGAACCTCTTTTGTTTTTTCTCTGGGATGGTAGTGAAAAGAGTTGCGTATGCATTAATCTAGGCAATGAAATCCAGTGATCGCAAAAAGCTTGATTCACTTTGTCTGTAATGTGAAAACATGGCTTTTTTTGTGTTTGGAATGTTCTAATTTGCCTGGTTAACCATGATAGACAGCTTGTTTTTGGTTAAACCAAAAGAAAAATGGAACATATATATAACTTTGTCCGACTACTGAGTTATGCTGCAAAAAGAGTAATATTAGTTTCTTTGTATCATACTAGCTATTAATCAATTTCCTTTTTTCTTATTTTTAATGGCAGGAATAGTAATAAGATAAACCTAATATATCAATCCCATTGAGAACAGAAAACCCATTTTAACTAACTGATTAGGGAGAAGAAGTTAAGATTGTTTTGAAAAAAATAGTTAAACCCTTTAAGTTAACCAAAATAATAAGAAATCCCATTTAAAAAGTAATTGATAGCATCTTTTTCTTCCTTTTTTGTCCATGGATAAATTGAGTCAATAAATAGGACTAGGAATCAAATCAAATCATATCATGTAGTCACAATTATTGCAATTTGCCACAAGATAAAGACAACATCTGTTTAAGAAAAATATTCAACATGGAAATGATTTTATATGAGACGACAAAATGAGCTACAACCCCATCTTGCTTTTACTTCTCCTTAATTTTTGGTAATCTCGCCTTTTCCTTTCTTTCTTTTTTTTTTTTTCAAATTGGCATCATTAACATCTAAGAGGGTTCTTGGAGTCAATAACCCAAAAGCAAAAAATTAAAAATTAAAAAAAATTAAAAAAATAGAAGAAAAGAAGATGCTCTAATGTGTAGGACCCAAACCCATTTCTTCTTTTGGCTAATTTCAACAAAGTAGAAGTACATTGGTTTGATCAATGTCTATGTGAATCTAAGAATAACTTTATGGTACTTCCCCTTGTTGTTTCAAATGGGCAATTATTAATTTGGGGAACCCGTGCACAAGCAATAATTTTTGAGTTTGTTAATGCCATAAAATAATAACTATACCAACCTAGATGCGACAAAGTTAACCAATTGTTGTCTTACAGCATCAGTCAAAGGACATCATTATAAGATCGGTTAAAGATAAGATAAATATTTTTTTTAATATAAATAAGAAATCATGATTAACAAAAAAAACATTATGATATCTCAAGCATTATCGGTTTGCATCTTAATTCCTTTTTTATCCGATGGTGCACGTGAGACTGACCACCATCATTTCTTTTCTTTAACTCATATGACTGCTAAAAGGCTTTTGCTTTCGGATTTGGTCTCTTCCCTTTTCTCCATTCATTTTCATTTGCAAACTCCAAATTTAATTTCATATGTCACGTTGCCTTTACCTAAAAAACCTGTCAAAATTTCAAGTAGAAACAGGACTCCTTTCATGTCGTGTTACATGTAAAATAATTTAATTTTATTATATTGTAGATTTATTTACCTTTTTTGTCTTTTGTACTTGCAAAGAGAAGCCAATGCCCTGAAAATCCAAGTGTGACCAGAAAATGGCAAGGCCTAACCAAGTCCTTGGTCATGCAGGCAGGTGTAGTTAAAGGGTATGAATAATGTTTGTGGTTTCCTAGCAGGGTAACTGCCCAACATTGCATTTCGCTCCATATAAAGGCAAAAATACCAACACCACAAAAGGGGGTGTTTATAGGGGCACTCTTCTTTTAATACATGATTACAGGTTTCGCTCATTAAGTGGTGTGGCAATTTTGTTTTCTTTGATTAATACTGGGGACGGTTTGTTTAATTAATGAGAGCCGCCCCATTGATCAAAAGGTCGGGTGGGCGCGCAAATCAACAGCCAGTCTAATAATGAAACAATCTTAGTGGGGTGGGTGGGTCTG